GCGCCCAGTCTGCCCCTTCCCACTCCCCTCGCCCTGGCAACCACATTAACTGTTTTAGATACCTCATGTAAGTGGAATCCTGCAGTATTTGCCCTTTTGTGACTTACTTACTTCATTTGGCATAATGTTCTCCAGGTCCTAGGTAAACATAATTTCTTAAAATCCAATTTGTTTTCTCAACAGCAACGGGAAGAACTCACAAAAAGACGAGAGAAACTTTCAAAAAGAAGGGAAAAGATAATCAAGGAGAGTGGAGAGGGAGATAAAAGCGTGGTTAACATCAGTGAGGAGATGGAGTCATTAACGGCTAATATAGATTACATCAATGACAGTATTTCTGATTGTCAAGCCAACATCATGCAGATGGAAGAAGCAAAGGTTTGTAATTTAAAAAAAATGTTTAATGATTAATGAGAAGTATTTTTTTTGTCATTAAAAGCACTTGGAATTTTCATATGAAGGAATTTTCTTTCTATCTTTAATATGATTCTTGGGTTTTGCATGTTTACCACTCCCTGTCTGCTTTTCAGATTTCTCTGCTGATTTTATGATATTATTTATTGTTTGTAAAAAACATGTATCATTTATTAATCCACCTGGGATTCTTAACTGCTCAAATATGTCTTATCTTTTTAAACTAGACCAGATGTTTCTTGGAGGTAGGAATCAAATTTTATACTTTTCTGAGGAGTCTCATTAGCTAACCCAATAATATCAGATAAATTCATGAAATAGCAGGCTTTGTCTTCTGTTGAACACATTCAGCTCAAAGTACTGATGCATCATATGCTGGTTTTGATGTAGGAAGAAGGAGAAACGTTGGATGTCACTGCGGTCATCAATGCTTGCACACTAACAGAAGCCCGGTACCTGCTGGATCACTTCCTGTCAATGGGCATCAATAAGGTAAGATCTAGCTACGCGATTATTAAAAACCTCAGCTTTGGTTAATTTGTTGTGGTTTTGTTCATCTTTTCCCAGTGATCCTTTCCTTTGTGATAAGGAAGAAGATTCTTTTGAAAAGTCAGCATTATTTACATCAATTCCATTAGCCTGTCATCGGTTGCACTTGTGTATTAGAACAGATAAACAACTTAAAGAATAAAATAATTTCTATTTTACTTTAACAAAGGAAAATTAAAAGAAAAATCCCTTGGGTTGAAAATAAATTTAGTGTCATAATTTTGATTCAATACTGATTCTTTACAGCTCAAAAAAAAAATCAGAAAAGAAAATAAAATACAGTTGCTCTCTGCTTATCTTAAGCAACTTTTGCCTAAATGTTGAAAGTGATAATGATTACTGATTCACCTTTTTTCCCACATTGAGACAGTGCTAAATCCTCTATGTTTTGTTCTCTCACTTAATCTTTACAACATACGAGGAAGTGGGTATTATTCCTACCATTTTGAATATGAGGAAACGAGAATCAGGAAGATAAGGTAACTTGCTCAGCGTCACCAGGCTTGTGAGTGGAGGAGCTGGGATGAATCAAGGTCTATCTGATGTCAGAGTTCAGACATCATATGCATTTGCTATTTGGTACAGATCTTTTTGTATAGGGTCTGTTTTGTATGATCTAAGATAATTTTTTTTTTGGTGTTGTTGTAGGGTCTTCAGGCTGCCCAGAAGGAGGCTCAAATTAAAGTACTTGAAGGTCGGCTTAAGCAAACTGAAATAACCAGTGCTACGCAAAACCAGCTCTTATTCCACATGTTGAAAGAGAAAGCAGAATTAAATCCTGAGCTAGATGCTCTACTCGGCCACGCTTTACAAGGTAATTTGGATTAAATTTCAGCTAAATAAATTGCACGGCAACTTTGCTCTTTGAGTATGCTATACTGTCCCCTTGTCCCCTATAGCTTGACTGAATAGATGCTATATTTACTTAAGCTTTTAATAATTGTTCCTTCTTTAATTTGCATGCATAAATTTGGGGGCATATAATTATTGTCATTACAAGAAATGAGTAGCAACTTAAAAGGGCTTATTTAACATTATTAAGCAATTAGTTTTTAATGAATAAAAAGATCAACTGTGTTTCTGAATTGGTTATTTAAATTGTTTAAAGTATTAACCAATTTCATTCCTTTCCTCTGCATATCTAACTGCCTTAAAAATAAATTTATAAGCGTTTGCTATGGCATCTATTCCACATATCTTATAAGTGGTACATAATCGTGTTTTATGTGGGAGTTTTTAACATTGGATCTGTTTTGATTGGAGTATTGCTTTTTGTTTCCTTTTTGCTGTTATTTACACAGATCTAGATAGCGTACCGTTAGGTAAGTATGTTTAGCTTTCTGTGTACCCTACAGATGCATGAATTACTAATTGTTCATGTACACTAATTGTGGTACATCTTATTTTAAACATTTTTATTGGCAGCCAGCTGGCTTCTGCATGATCTTTTTTGAAATGTACCTGTGACCACAAACATACTAAGTCTTTTGTCTCTCTTACACATTTCCTGATTTTTAAATTTTTAGATATTTAAATAAGTATGTTTCGTTAATTTTCTGTTTTATTATTTGAACTCCAGTTTTGGCTCCAGTTTCATAAGCCCTTCTTTCTTTTCTTATAGGGAAAAAAATGGAACATACACTCCTTTTTAATTTTTAAATATATCTGTTTACTTGTATCTGTTGTTTTACCCTCATAAACAACTTTAATATTTATCTTTGGTGTATATTTGTCTCTGGCATATATTTGCAAGATCTTTAGCTATTCTTAAGTTTTATAAAATTAAGTGCATATATTACAGATTGAGTAAAACTATCCAAAGGATTTTATATGAAGAGATTGAAACAATATTTATAATCATAACATGGTATTTGCAAGTCAGAAAGAGCTTCAGATTTCATTGAATATTGAGATTTTCAGTTTTTTTTCTCTTGCCACTGCGATATTCATGTGAACTACAGCCACCCTGAGTAATATCTATGCTCCTCCTGGTGATTTATATATTCATGGAGGTCCAAGAGTATCAGGGTAATTTTATTACTTGTGATTTTTCTGAATGATTATTTTGGAGCAATTTTTATTTAATTAAAATTATTTCAAAATCTGATCTTAACTTTTTCTTTTTCTTTCAAATTACATAACTGTCAAAAGTTTTCTAAATACTTATACTTGAAGGAGAGGAATGTAGCTGAAAGATTAAATGTAATTACCTTTCTAGGTCATTAAACATAATCTATGAGTCTGAATTTATTTAAAATAAATTTATGTTAAATAAGATATTACACAAATAAGATATATGAGCTATTTGATTTTTTTTTACATGTTTACACTGTGTGTTAATCTCAAAATAGTATTTCCTTGAGATCATCTCTGTAATATAGATATGGACAGGCTACTCCTTTGAACCTGCTCCAGATGTAACAAGGACAGGTGGAAAGTGAAACTGTGGTTGTATTAAGGAACCATGTTAGACTACCCATGTTCCTGGATCGTAACCAGAGTTTTGGCCATTCCATGTGTTCTCAAGCATGTTTCTGCTCCTCTTCCTCCTTGTTCTTGTTCTGCTCCTCACCTTTCTCCTCCACCTTCTCTTTATTCTTCTTCATCTCAGTGGCTCCATTATTTATTTTAACTTGGAAGAAAAATGCAATTCCCTCTTTGATGACCTTTTGTGCAGAAAAATATTAAACTGCTATTTGATGAATGTTGTTACTTTTCACAGCCTTCAAACAACTTTCAATCATCTGTAGCTTAAAGAAGGGTCAGAAGCAGAGAGGGGAGATGCATTTAGCTGATATAACCTGTGACTCATGACGGAAATTTTCCCTAAGGATTGGGGCCATGATCTAGCCCAAAGTGCCTGAAAGAAAGAGCATGGAAGGAGAAAAACACGGATGTAAATCCATGGAAGCTACACAGTCATATACACATTGCTTTAAAAAAATACTTACTTAGTTCCAATTTATCTCAAGTATCTAGGTGCTGAAATTGAAAGATAAGTGAGACACAAAATCTTGCACTCATGGACTTGATGCCTTGCTGAGGGTGATGGACCATGAACAGATTGTGATACATTGCAGTGAGGGCAGAGACTGAAATTTGTACAGGGAGTCACGGGAGTACAAAGAGGGCTTACACAACAAGAATGGAGGAGCTGGTGAAGGCTTTCTGGACAGGGTAAAATTTGAGCTGAAACATAAAGGAAGAAAAAAAAATTAGCGAGGCAAGAGACAAGGTGGAAGGGGGTGCAGGAAAGAGTCACTCTGTGCAGTGAGTAAGTTAAAGCATGGACATTTAGCCACAGTATTATTGGCATGAGCCCTTCAAGCAGGTTGGTGCCCTGGAGCAACAAGGTTATGATATAGGGTGATGGAACATGAGGCTAGAGGGGGAGCCAGGCCCGTACCTTGTGCCTAATAGGCTTGTGTTGTTGCAGCCTTTAAAGAGCATTCTTATTTTCCCCTTCTTTTTTCCCTACCTACGTTAATGTTCCTAGGGCCTTTCCCTGTCTTTGGAGAAATGCTAGAAGACTCGTGGGGTTCAGCAGATACTTGTATTCATGGCGAAGATTCATGAGAGCAATGCAGGGAAGGCTTCACAGCAGGATTGTAGCAGAAAAAGATGCAGATGGAGTTGGGAGGAATCCGTGTCCAGGCTGCCTTTTGTTCTCTCCCTCCCATGAGAGATCCCACAGAGTGCATGCGTCCCCTGGAACAAATGCAGCAACGTGTGTGCATGTTTTATGCCCAGGGAAGTCCGTTAGACACTCAGCACCTGCGGTTTTTACTGGGGACTGGTCACACAGGTATCCTCTGTTCAGAACACAGCAGAATTCTAGACATTAGAAATAAAGCTGGAGTTCAGCATAGGACATACTGTTGGCACAAACATTCTAGGTAGAACAAACTTCCCTCATTAGTTAACTGGTGACTAGGGGCACTCTGAGAGGAAGCTGCCAGATGCCCGATGAAGTCCGACCTTGCAGGCAGGCCTTTCTGAGGATAGTGGTCTCTGGGCTTTCGTGTTCACTCTTTTCCATAAGCTACTTAAATATATATATATATATATACATATATATATATATATATTTATGAATATATATGTAACTTTTAATAAAAAAAACTTTAAAGAAATAACTGGTTAACGTCTAGTGAAGTGAAATCATGCAACTTTATATTGATATGGATGAACTTTAAGGCGTTTGGGAGTTTTAAGTCTCTGCCTTTAGCTTTATTCTGCAGTGATGAGAAAAGAAACTGGGGTTGGGCTGGAATTATGTTCTTAGAATTTAGAGTAGAGCAAGGAGGTGATGGCATGTCCTGCTGCCCAGATGACCATAGTGGTACAGACCAAGCTCAGTTCCAAAGAGGGGTCTGATGTGGTGAATGTCGGGGTGAAGGTCTCCATCCTCTGGTGAGGTTGTTTATTTCAGACCGTAATTATCTCTAAATAAGGTGTATGTGCATATGCAGGAGTTCAGTAGTTTTCACTAAGCACTCACATGATGTTTAACATACTAACCGGTTTCATCACTCCCTACAAGAAAATTACTGGTCAGTCTTGGTCTGCTTTTATACATGGGAAAATAAGGGCTGTGTTTGTCATCCTGACATTTTCTATGTTATTGACTGATTCCATCACCTTAGCACTCAATTTTCCTGTCTGTGAAGCACGTCCAAAGCCTCCAGGTGTGGGCTTTGAGGTACATATGGCCTTCAAGACCATGTTTCTCATTTCAGACAGTAAACTCCCTCTGTGCGGGTCCTAGAAGGGCTCCATTTTAGAGAGCGCTCTCAGGTATTACTGACTTTCCATCCAAGTGCCTGCTGAACAGTGAAGAAGAAAGGAATTAGTTGACTCATGAGCACAATCCAGAAGTTAAAGGGAGATGAATCCTATATATTTTTCATTAACACACAAATTACTGATAATATTATCTTTGGTTTTGTGAAATGACTTTATAATAAAATGTGTAAGTTTTGAACACTTGTACCTGTATTGGGGGCTCTTTGACACTTTAAATAGTTCACTTTCAGTGGCTGTTCTATTTACTGACTTCCTACTAGTTTCATATGTTTGCTTTTCCCTCTCTTTTTTATTAGTGTGCTGCTGTTGTTCTGAAATAGCAGTGGTTTGTTTGTATTTATTTACAAAACCGTTGCATGCAAACCTATGGTTTTTGTCTTTTATGTACATGTGAGTGAGCCGCATGCTGTTGTGTGACTTCTGAATATCTTCATACACACACGTACTCTCTCTCTCTACTTGAAAACAAAAATAAAGATAAGGGGAAATATTTAAGTGAATTGGAATACTGATAAAGTATGCATACCAAGTATGTTTACACTTACGTAGTTTTAAAAGTTGGCTCAGTACATTAGAGGGAGCTCAAGTAGCATTTACTTTAATCTTTTACTCTGTGTTCCTCTGGTTTTTCAAATGTGGGACTGAATGGATGACATGGGATAAATACATACTCTGAAAAAATATATATACAATTATACATACTCTGATAAATACATGATCTCATCATATCTCAAATACAGGATCCCATGAATACTGTTTTCTGTGTTATATCATTCAAACTCATGGCTTTCCTATTTTGAACGTATCTGTTGTTTTTTTTTTTTCTCATCATAGGACATACAATCAAAGGAGTTTCTTAGAAATATTTTTTTGCATTTCTGTTTTGGTTTCTATATTCCAAAACCAAAGGGCCCTTATTGAGATCTTGGGCTGATGTTTATTATAGCATAGGGATTACAGTCATCATTCAAATTGTGACATGTGGGTAATACACACTTTTTGGGCTTTTTTATAGAAAATGTAGAGGACAGCACTGATGACGATGTTCCTTTACACAGCCCAGGATCAGAAGGCGGGTAAGAGAGTCTTCAGAAACTTAGTAGATTTGACTCATTTCTGTAATATTTTAATACTTTTATCTTGTTGCATCAGTTACCATAAGACAAAGAATTTTGGAGTTTACGACTAAGTGGAGAGCACTAGAAACAATCATATGGAAACCAAACTGTGTAATGCTTAAACTTCAAAAACATTAAAAATAGTCAGATACTTAAGGAAGGAAAATGAATTCTTTTAATTCAGTTGTTTTGATTTTGGGTATCGTCATTCTGTGTTTTCCATGGGCATGTAAATTTTTTCCCCGTATTTATGCTGAGAGAGGACATACAGTTTTCTATAAGAAGTTCCTTTTAATCTTGTGCTTAATTATTTCCACATAGCTCACTGTCTTCAGACCTTATGAAGCTTTGTGGTGAAGTGAAGCCAAAAAGCAAGGTAAGGAGAATTGAAAACACCAGGTAGACATTTTTACTACTGTTCCTTATTATTCCTGTTAGAACAGAGGGCACAGGGTTGACTCTTCATAGGTTAGCAAGTAGGCATGCTTTCACCAAAGGTTTCATGTGTGAGAAAGTTAGTGCTTGATTATAGTCCCCTTTTAAAAACAATTTATATTGAACAGTTTCTCCTTTATGGAACTTGTGATTTACTGTATTCTTGCACTTTTTCCATTAGATAAGATATGATTATGGAGAGCAGTCCTTAAAAATAATTTAGCAGACAGGAGATTTTTGAAATTTTAACATTCTAATATTTGTGTGTGTGTGTGTGTGTGGATGAATTTCTAATATGTTCTTTAAGTGTTCCTTATTTATTTTAATTGTATCCAAAGGTGGTTTGAATAAGCCAACTCTTAATCAGTATTTTGTTTTAAAAACTGAGGCTATAATGGATATTTGTGAAGTGTAAAAAAATATGAGAAGTACATACTGTTAAGTGTGTAAGACACACGATATATTTCAGATTGAGTGTTGGTAGCATTTGCTATTAGATGAATTACAACCATTTTAAGATGTTTGAAAACAAAGGATTTTTGCGGTGCTTAGTAAATATTTGTTGAATGAATGGGTGGGATCAGGACCTGAAAGAACTGTCTTGTGCTAATGGGCAGGATGGATTTGAGGCCCACAGTGGCTGGCCAGGTAATGCAAGTGAGTAACCGGCCTGGATGTAAGCTAATTAGTAGGGGTGAGTCTGATTACCTGCAGAGGACATGCCCCGCCTGAAACACCACTCCGCTATTGCTTATTTTTGCCGCGTTGGAGTATGGGCCTAAGGCTGCCAGATTCTCAGTTTTTTCGAGAGAAGCCCCACATGAGGATTTTAATGGGGAGTTTCTTTATCTTTGAATTACTGGGCTTGCCAGTCAAAGCACATCGACAGGCTTTGTGTGCAGTCCTGGAGCTACTGGCTTGGTAACGTGTGGTTTGCGTTTATTATTCTAAGTGACTAAGCAGAAGTTACCCAGACTCAGAGAAAACATTCTAGTGTAGTTTGGATCCAGTCTTAAGTGGAGGAGAGAATCTCTTAAGGTGACTTTGTGTTTCAGGCGCTGTGAAAGCCTCGTCATTCATGCCCTCGTAGGATGCCAGGGAGAGATGTGAAGGGGTGGCAAAAGGCCATCTCGTGGAGAAAACCACTGTGGTTAGGAATCCCCAAGAAAATGATTCCATTGGCAAAAACGCTGGCCTAAAGGGCTTTTTCTTTCCAAAAGTATTCTTGTGCTCTCTGCCACTCCTTTTGAACTGCAAAGATGCCTAAAAGGATCTCCAATCATTCATTTTTCACTTATTGAACAAACGAAGTTGGCTGTATATGTTCAACAGATATGTACCAGTACTGTGTTAAATGCAGGGGATGTAAAGTTGAATACAACAGGGTGTCTGCACTCTAAAGGTTTATAATCTGGCAAACACCATGATTGTCTGTTAGTACGTTAGTGAGAACAACCAACAAGCATTAACAAGGTAGTCCCTTGGTTTTTTAGGAGTATGGAAGAGAATGCTTACGGTGAATTCAGATTCTAGGGAAAATTAACCTTCACCTGCCTCACCATGCTGCCAAAAGCTAGGATGGGCTGGTGTTGGATATCCAGCAGGCAGATTAAACAACCAGTGAAGACATCAGGGGGCAGTGTCATAAAAATGGAGATACAAATAAAAAAATTGATATTAAAATAAAATTTATATTAAATAAATCATATAAGCTTGGGAAGAATCAAAACTTAGTTGAAAGTCCCTGCAATTATCTTTTGGTTTAATTTCTTTCTTTCTTTCTTTTTTTTTAATGAGGCATTGAGGGAGCTGGCCACTAGTGTCAGGATGGCATAGTTATGTTGGAGGCAAATTGCCTGGTTTTGAATCTGGCTTTGCCACTTACTAGCTGTGTGACTTTGGACTTTTAGCTTCTGTGTGCCTCAGTTTCCTCATTTGTGAATTGGGATAACGATAGTGTATGCTAATATAATAAAGTGTTTAGAACAATTTCTGGCATCCAGTGAGTATAATACAAATGTTGGCTATTATTATGGCCCCTAAAAGTCTTATCTGGCTGTAGCTTTGGCTTGTCACTATCTTACATGCTATGTTTGACACACTTGCTAGGAAAAGACACGCTAAATGTTTTTACCTATTTCAAACTAATATCAAATCTCTATTCCCTAATCATCTTCTCTGCGAACGTTTGCACCTGATTGCTTTTCCTTCCATTCTCTGACTAGGCTCGAAGGAGAACCACCACTCAAATGGAATTGCTGTATGCAGATAGCAGTGAACTAGCTTCAGACACTAGTGCAGGAGATGCCTCCTTGCCTGGCCCTCTTACACCTGTCGCAGAAGGGCAAGAGATTGGAATGCATACTGAGACCAGTACTTCTGCTAGGGAAAAAGAGCTCCCTCCCCCATCTGGCTTCCCTTCTAAGATAGGCAGCATGTAAGTCTGGCCCAGCTACACTAACTTCCTTTCTTTTGGCTTTTCTTTCTTTCTTTTTTTTAAAATATGCATGTTGCTAATTTCTATTTTTTTAAAAATTATGTAAATAAGATCTCTAGTTTTCAAAGTAATTTTTGCTAGGTGTCTTGTCCCCTAATTTTTTGAACATTCAAAATAATTTAAATGAGATGTTCTGTGTTGAAATTGCCTTGTCCTATTTCTAAGTTTTAGGGTCTTTCTTAAAGATTATCATTTTTATAAAGGCTGAGATGTGAATTACAGGCAAAATTTATTTAGAAACACATTTAGGTTATAAAATCATTATATCAAACAGAACCTTAGAGACTCTTTAGTTTGCTCCAAATTATGGTATATCCTCGTTCTAAGAGCCTGGTCAGGTTAGTAGACTTTTGCTGACACTTTTAAAGAAAAATACAGATATCAGTTACCAACCTAATACATTTTGAACTTTCCTTATTCTTTGCCTTGAAGACGTTGCACATCTGGGATGAGTGTATACACAAAGTATTGTTATTATATTATTAAAGAGTTGAAGGAGGGAACATTTCCCATCTAAGATAATCTTAATAAGAAACATTCTATTCAAAACAGATTTAACTTAGAAATTGTTCATTATTATCTTGAGAAGAAAGATTTTCCTACACAGGCCAGTGTGTATATACGTGTGTGTGCTTTGTTGTATTAAAACTACATCCGTCATTCACTAGTAAAGATTTTTAATGACTTTTATCAAACTAATCCTCACATCTGATCTAGCAAATAATTTATTGGATGAACACATGACTGCATTGAGAAACAGTGCCAAAAAAAAGGGACACACACTGGATGACTCTACAAATAGTAAACTATAACAAACTCCCTTCCCCCCCAACCTGAGTATCTGTTTCCCATAACTTTCTTCATCTTATGAAGGTATTTTCATTGTCTTCCATTCAGTAAGCCCATCTGCTACCTTTAGTTCCAAAATTAATTTTGATGATGACAGAACTTTCTTGCTTGTGCTTGAGGTGGCCTATGTGATTAACTATTGAATTTGCTGAAAAAGATTGCTAACCAGTATAGCTTATGGCTTCAGTGCTTTTTTGATAAGATAACAGTAGAAGAAATGCTTTTGGAGAAGGTAGTGATGTAGAACTGAGAACAGATTTTAGGAACTCCCATGTGTTCAGCATTTAGTCTGTCAGATGAATAGAAACTTTTGGAACTTCAAGACTAAATCTATGACCTGGAATCCAGAATTCAGGTAATACCTTCTTTTTGCCTTTTTCTTTTTAAAAATGTTATCATTCATGACAGGTTGTAGAAAATATCTTTCAGATACTGTCTCTTCACATAAGTTATTTTCAAGTTTTCATCAATTAAGATGCTTGTGTAATTCTGTACAAATTTAAGAGCTGGTCATGTGCTGGTGCAATAACTCTTATAACCCATTACTTCAT